GCGAGCCGTGGCCGTGGACGCAGCGAGGAACGCCACTGTCGGGCCGCGCGTGTCATCGGTAGGCCGAATTATTTCGCGAGGATCGCGTGGTTCTTCGCACCTGCCGCTGTCAACCGTGAGAAGACGAGAGCGTTGGTCCCGTCGATGATTCGACTCGACTCGATCGTTCGATCGATCCCATTCGACATCCGCACGTCGATTCCATCGTTCTCGATCAATTTCGCTTGACTTTCGTTTCTTCTCTTTTCGCGATCCTCCCGAACGCATGAAACTTTGACTCGATATCTTAGATCGGAGTTAATTGACACCTCCGTCGCAGCTGGACAGCTAATTTCGCTGGAGTATCATCGCCGAAGACGAAGGGGCGATAACGTTGACGTTTATTTTTTATCAGCTATCGGGCCGTATTCGCTGTATCCGTTTCTGTCGCGTTTCGGGACAGACATTCAAAGGTTGTCGTTCGTCTTTGGAATCCGTATGAGCGACGCGTGCACCTACGTTATTGCTCGAACGCTATGCGAACGCTTGCTGCTTACTTTTGACGGAATGTAATATCTATTTATTTATTTGCTGTTTACAGCCTGTACATTTTGTGGTGTATAACGATTGATGCGATAGAAAAAACGATCAGCGTGAAAGTAGAGAAAGTAGAGTACGCCCGAAGCTGTTGGAAGAGCAGAAAAAGCTGATCTTGTCGCAATACGAATTTACGTCTGTAATGAGCCTATTATATGTATTACGTTATACAATTATGTTGCCCGCAGCGAGTTGGGTGAAATTCTTGCCAGAGAAGGGGACAGTGTATAATAGAGAGCGGAGAAATCCGAAGACCAAATTGCGTTAAAATTTCGGGACAGTTTATTAAGCCGTTTGATGTTTTATGTGCAAGGAATAGGTCGAGCAGCAGACGTGGACGATCAGGTATCCCTAAATTTAAAGGGTTTAACACTGAGACTGATCGACTAACAAACTGAGATATATTCTGGTCGAAAGGACGATAGTAAGTAAGAATGTGGTCTGTGACGGCGATATTTATACAAAAATAGCGACGAGTATTGGCCGTTCTTCACCAACGGTTACTCAAGAGCGGAGTTGGGAAAAACCCGCTCTTCCCGTGTTTTATAGCAATGAGCAATAATCCTAAGAAATTTCTCAACTTGTAAAATGTTTGTAACAATGGAGTGTAAGAAATGCTAAATATTATGGCGGTTCCTTAGGATTATTATTGGCCTGAGTCTTGACAGCTGGTGACCATCTTGACCGAAGGATGGATTATGTTTCATGGCAAAATTACGGCTGTAACAGCTGTTATTATTCGTTACTACTGATTTTGTTTGTCGTCTGACCTTGAGATAGCCTTTTCTTTGCATTGACTGCATTTATTTTAAGAATAAGTAAAATATTTTGCCGACCGGTCAAATTGACCGCTCGCGGTACGCAAGGCAGAATACAAATTTTTTTTAGAAAATAAAAGAGCAAACTAAAAGTAAATACCGAAAAATATATTGTATGCATGTTTTAGGAAAAGTCCGAAATTACGAAGCGATACGATAACGTTTAAATATGCTTAAATTTCTGTAGAAGTTCGAGAGCGATCAATTTGACCGGCGCTGGTAGGTTTAGTTGTTAATAGCTGAGAACAATCGTGTTCATCGAAGGACATGGGACGATCCAAAACGCGTGCCGCTAATATTGTTTCAAAATTACAGATAAGAAGATCTAAAGATCGTTTATGATAAGATGAAATTGATAAAATCATCGATCGAACGATAACATCGAATTAAGAATCAGATGAATTCTTTTAATCGATAATTTTGAACGATAAAGAGCGATATGATGAAATTTACTCTTGAAAATTAGTATGCAACGAAGAAATTGGAATCTGCGAGCGTCGAATATTATGAGACGAATTTACTCTTTAAGGAGTTCGTTATTCTCAGCGCGTTTGAGTGTCAAATTATAGGTACGATAGGAGGGAAGATTCTCGCAAGTTGGTAAAAAGGCTACCGTGATTCTGGCAATAATATTTAAAATTGATGAGCACTCTGACGAATTTTCTATTTTTTTTTTTACCATTTAATTAAACCATTTGTGCTTCGTACGATATACACGTTACGAATAAATTTCTTTAAATGACTTTATTTCTGCCTTCAAGGTTCTGAGGTAAGAGCTGAGCTGTTCGACTCATTCCTCTTGCCAGAAGGTTCGTCACCTTCCCCACTCCGTGGCCAGACCCTTCCAGGGCATTCTTATCATCTTACACGCGCTGTAGAGCACTATGACGTCGGGTCATCGGCTACACGTGCGTTCCTGGGAACTTTGAAACTGTAACGTTCGCGTCTCTTAGAATTTGTCAACCAAAACTGCACATTGCACACATCTGTGACAGAACTCGTCGACAAACCAAAATTTATGGCATCGGCAGCCCGATGGCTTTCGAAAGGCCTCGATAGGTGCAGTTGCTCCTACGGAGTTCCGCGAAAAGTTCGCGAGTGTTAGTCTTAATTTGCCATTGTCTCCTACGTGTATCTTAATCATAAGCAGGCACTGTTATTAGAAATCGATCGAAGGCGTCCACGTATTTACGAGTTACGGTGTATGCACATGGTTTGGAAAGCTTCGCTTCGAATCCGAAGGGACATCGACGAAAACTCGGATCGGATAATCGTCCTTTAAACGCTTTCTCGAGGTTCGAGACACGGTCTCGCTCGATTGGTTCAGAGCGAAGCGAAGAGGCGGAGGATTTCTGAAATTGCTTGGCGAACGCTGCGAACGTAGACGGTAGCAGAGTGAAGATTCGCGAGAAAAACTAAGGACAAGAACAAGACAAGGAGATGGGAAAACGCGGAGTTTCGACGATTCGAACAGGGATCTGTTGGTATCGAGGTGGAAAGCGAAAAAGTTATGTCGTGGCGGCGACGGAACGCGATGCAGGGAAAGAGCATTGCCGGAACTCAACAGGTGGGTCGATCGAGAATGGGATGAGTGAGCTGCTGTATAGTATAGAATATAGAAGGTAGAAAAGAAAAGAGAGAAAGACGATGCGACGTTGGTCGGTTGCGTACACGTGTGCGTGAGAAGGGGCTGAGGATAGGAGGGCAATGGAGCCCGAGAGCATTCTTAAGCGGCTTTTCTCCGAGCATAGCCGTGCCGTGATCGTATTTCATCTCGCGCGTATGCGGCGTCGTTTATTTCTCACGTTCCGAAGCTGGAGGGCTGCAGCTTCCTGACTTACGATCGTTGAAATATCGCGGTGCTCGCCCTCCCAGCGATGGATATTACGGACGATCGAAGCTATAAACCAGTTTCTTTAATTTTCCGCGTTAATCAATATTCCGTAAAATGGTCGAGGAATAGGCCGCTATCCGTCGAGATTCGTCGTTGGAAAGCTTTTAAATAACGCGAATAAAGGAACACGAGGAACGAGGTGCGTGAATTCGACGAGGAGACAGGGAGACGAGTCTCGTTGCGAGCCGATCCGTCCGGTCCAAGCGTTACAGGTGCACGGAGTCTGGGAGCGAACCACTCGTTAAACGTTCTACCGTGCACCTGCCGCACGGCATCATTCATTGCCTTTATTTCTCTACTCTCCTCCGGCACACGCTTCGTCGTCACCGTCCACCCTGCCGCTCTTCACCCTGGCCGTACGCCTCTCCGTCGCACCGATCGTCGTCGACTACATACGTACACCGCGTTCATCGTTTTGCATTCTCCGCACGGACCGCGGCATCCACACCCGGCCAACCTAACTCATCCTCCACCCTGTGTCCCGAATCCTCTACGTTTTCGTGTTTGTAACGTTAACCCCGTCTCCCCCGTCCTATCTTCGTCGCGTTCCTCATGCTCGAGGTGTCGCGTCACGGCGAAAAACTCGCGAAAAACTCTCGACACGCGAGAGGTTTCCTGGTCTGTTCGAATATTCTTCGACCGCTACGAAGCAACAGGTTCGTTCTAATGGCAAGGGACATTGCGCTAGGTTTCTAATGCTGGCGAGGTTTGAAAATCGGTATTCGTTAGAACAGACGGCAGGAAGGAAGGACGAGTGGAACAGGTGCAAGAGAAAATGGGTTTAAGGTATCCGTTACAAAGCTCAGCGAGAGTCGACTGTTTGCGAGCCTCGAGTCGCATCAAGACTGTATTCTTCGTCGAGGAAAATTTACGAATGCTAAGAGCGCGGGTGGTGGCAGGGCGTGAGCGAGCGTAACGAGTTCCTTGGCGCAGGTCTGATTTATGCCAGGTCGTAAGGAAAGAAAACGACTCCTCACCTGCCGAGAGCTATTCGCCGACCGACGGTGTTCCAATCTAACGACGACCTGTCTTTCTTCTTTCCTTCGCTCTGTGTTTTCCAAGCGATGTACGTTCGATCTCGACTGGCCGATTCTTTTTTCGTTGTCCGTGTGGCGTAGCTACGGTACAATGACTGTCGTGTTCATGGCGAGAAGCATCAAGAAGCATCGTGAAGCATCGTGAAGCATCGCGAAGCATCGAGAATCATCGAACGGGGAAAATCGTACTCTCGGTTGGATATTTCGGAGAGCCGTAACCCGTCACCGACTACACAGGTGTCGTTGGACCGCTCGAGATAATAATGCCGGTATAACCGTACAACTGTTCGATGACCCAGGTGGTAGAGGAATTGTATAGAATGACACCGATACTCCAAATACGGCCGACGACCAACAGAGTCATTGTTCACGCTGTAACCGATACCCTCAGCTTCTGAGAACGGATCGATCTTCTCTACCTGTACTTACTTCTGTCCGCGTAATTGCCTGGCCTTTGCCCGCATCTTCGTCTTTGTATCCCGACGCGCCCACGTGATGCTCGGCATTCTTCGTCTCACGCTATTCGTTCGTCGATTCGCCTCGTCCGTTTTTGGCAAACGACAACGTGGAAAGACACAGCGGTCGAAACTGCAGGGGAGCGCGCGCAAACAATCGTCTTTATCGTCGTAACTATGAAACGAGATATGTAAGTACAATTTATCAATGCGAAGTTAAGACAGTCTTTCGCCTCGTAGGCGCTTGCCAGAGTGTGCGGAGTGCGCGAGCGAGAGGACGAAAGAGAGGAAGGGAGAGAAGAGAGAGAGAGAGAGACGGAGCGTTGCGTCCGTATGTCGTGCGTCGTGCAACTCGTGCATCGTGTGTGCAATAGTGTGCTCTCATGGTCGAACGAAGAGCGGTGCTACGCTATAAAGATCACGAGGCGCGACATCTGGCGCCACATGGTCGTTTAAAAGCTGTCGCATTCACGTAATCGGCCAACGCGATGGTTCCGAGCTGCTCGCGATATTTCCTATGTACATATTAACCGTAACTTTTCTTTGCACTGCGCAAACATTTGCGATTACGCACGCGATTAAACGTCTTCGAGCGATCGAGGGAATTTGACGTACGACACGTATCGAACGTTACGTGGAAGCCCGTTACCGCGTTTCGGGCGAGTCTGGCGGAAAAATCCGCGCAGATCGGAACCACGACGATTCGCTAACGTTATCTTGGATATGCGAGAAAGTCGAAGCTTTCGCTCGCACGGCGGATCGCGTAAATACACCCGCGATGGTCTTTTAGCCTCGAGAGGTCAGATATACGCTGGAAAACGAGCATAAGAGAACACGAAAGTATACGATCGCGCGTAGAAAGAAATAGAAAGCACCTGACTATTGGACCGATTATAGCCGAGTTAAATGCACGATCGATTAAGTTATACCATCGGAAACCTTTACGTCGTATGTTTTATGTAAAACATTTTGAAATTCTACTGCTACTGGTACTATGAGACAGCGCTATCGCGATCGTATTCGTCCAATTTGAAAGGAACCCACAAATGTACGTAGAAATTGGAAGATATTTATCGCAAACATGGTTTAATTTCTTAATTTAATGGTTTAATTTGATAACAAACGACGAACGGCCAGAGAACAACGATACGATGTTACAAATATCCTTTCGCGATCATCGATAACTATTTGAATATTCTTGCAAAATACGCTTGTGCTAAATGTCTCGTCTAATTTCCACGTGTATTCCCCGGATTCGTTTCAAACTTTACCGATATATCTATCGTCGGTGAAATCTCACAAGAGAGCTAACGATATTCCAAAGTGTTTCGTATAACGCGCGTAATACATTCGTAGGAGATGTGTACAAATGTTGGATTGGCTTTCGCGAACCTGCCTGTATACGTACGTACTTGAACGTTTCTCGCTTAGATCGAGAAACCACGAAGGCGAATCGATGGATTCACGAGCGGGACCGCGAGGAAAGAGAGACGCAAGTCGAGCCCGCCGAGGAATCGGTTCGGTTCTTTTTCGATGGCAAGATTGGCGAGTTTTCACGATGCTCGATTTCTCTGGTTTCGCCTCCTTTTCCCGTCTTTCCTTTTCCCGACCGTTCTAATTTCGTGGTAGACACGTGCCCGGATGGAAACAGATGTACCTCGGCAGCGTCGTATAAATACATCGGTGCTCGGCTAACTGGGCGGTCGTGTATCCCCGACGGGGCTGCGAGAGTCGACAACCGTGCCTTTGAATCGATATAGAGTTACCGGTACGACTGGCGCCAGCGTGACTGCGCGATTCCAGCTACTCGGATCGTGTCGCGGCCAGACTCACACCCGTTCTCCGAAACCGTCTACATTCTTTCTTCCCACCGTTCCAGTCGCTCCGATACCCTTCGCATCCTTCTTTTCAAGATTCCCTCAGGAATATCTCCGAGCTACATAATTTCTATGCGTCTCTTACGTGTCGTACTGCGTTTTATTTATTCTTATCTATTCAGCCGTCTTATCTGTTTTATTTTGTTCCTTCGTTGTTCTCATTCTTTAGCCTGTTTTAGTTCTCCTATTTTTGTCCCTACGCGTGATTTTTAGTCCGGATGAACCGCTAACGCTACTTACTCGGCTATCTGCTAATAATTGTGCTCTAACTTTCTTCGATGTTATTCTACCAAAGAGTATTCTCACCCGTTAGATTAAAGCTAGGGTGCTCAAAAAAGGGTTAAAAAATATCCACAGATCTGGGAACGCTGGTAAACCTTCTGAAACTGTGAACGTTCTAGAGTTACGGCTCGTACGTTCTCTCGGTTATTCTCCATTTCACTGTATTTTTCCAACGTTCGGAAATACCTTAAATTCTGACAAAATATGAAAATGACGTTACGCGCTTTTAAAACGAAACAAATTCCTGTTAAAACGAGAGCAAGCTTGAAATATAGAAATTCGAGGATCTAACGATAAGTTCGATAGCCCTTCGCCCTTTGCGCGTAACGTTCTCGCAGTACGGCACGATTTAATATCGCGTTTCTTCTTCTTTTATTTGCGTTTAGCGATACCAGTTTCAGAGTCGAAAGATCTTCGACAAGTTTCTCGAGCGAGTCATCGATTATTGCGTGGGTTCGTTTACTCAGTTTCAAAGCGACTCGGCGCGTTACGTGTCAAGTGCAAAACGCAGTTTGCGAGGCTGGCATAGCTGCGTTTTACTTTCTTACATTTTATCTTCGGACACGTCGCGGTACGCCGCGTCGCGTCGCGACGTATCGCCACGCATATCTCGTTCTATTCGACGTTCTTGTAAAGGTGCGTTTAGATCAAGCGAACGAATACTCGTGCTTCCTCCACTTCGAAAGTCTATAAACGAAAGTGTAAACGAGCATTCTTTCGCCATTTGGCGGCGCTCGCCGAATCGGAAATCGCACATGCGAATACTTAAAGAACGCTTCAAGAATGCTTCGAAAACGTCGATTGGATCCTTTTAGCCGTGGAAAGAATCGGATATGGTTTCATTTCAGGAGAAATGTTTAATTTAGACGACGAGAAGAAACCGGTGACGTGCCATTTCCCAACTATATTCTACGTATAAGTAAGGATCGCTTTTAGAGATAATTCGATAAAAAAATTAATTTTCACACTGTAAGATTCGTTTAAGATCCGCGAACTAAGCTAAATTTGCTATTCGCGGATAAGCTGGAAAATGTCACATCCGAATGTTCCAAGAATTCTCCAAGAATGTGCCAAAAATGCCATTGTCGCAAATATGTTTGCGTACGGAATGCTCGATCGTTGTTTATGTTAAACGAATGCCGTTGCTCTCGCTGTATGTTCTTGCACGTCTAAACGCGCCTTAACTAGTTTGTTCTTCTTTAAAAGGTTCGTGCGGCACCGTTCCGCGCGTAGAATGGCGAGTACGCGTGAATTCTCGAAAGGGGAACGGCACGGGGAAGGTGAATACCGCACGCAGATGCGCGACCGACATTATCGGAAGTCTTAATTGGTTTCAGAGTCGAACGGAGCATGTTGTTCGAGCGAGTGCGCGTTCGATAGCTTTTGTAGTTTTTTCTTGGCGCGAGCGGTGAACGGGAGGCGCTATAAAATTGCGTACACCGAAAGAGCAGGTGATCGTGAAAGGGTGGCCGTGTCGCAGGCAACGATCGCACGACTCACCTTCTCGTGGAACGAATTGCTGCAACTCGGACTTGCTCGTCAGGTGTTACCATGCCGCGAAATTTATCTCATTTTCGTGGCAGCGTGTATTATTTATTTGTTTGTTTACTGACAGTTTCGTAGGATAGAAGAATTCCACCGGTAGAAAAGAAGGGACAGGGAAAAGGTAGGAAAAGTACGGGAAAGATAGCGAAACGTATGGTAATAAGAGAGAAGAGAGCGACGAGCAACGATCGGGAAGTTTTAAAATTAAAATTATGAATCGAGATAGAAAAGTTATGAGATCTATGTTAAGGGAATCTTAGAGATTTCATAGATCGACTGGACACGCGTATCGATTATTACGATGGACGGAGCTAGCGAAATTCATCGTTCTATTAAATAAATATTTATTAAATAATAAGCGAAGTAGCTCAGAGTTCAACAGCGAGCAGGTCCGCATTCTTCCGAAGGGTAAATGTATGGAGACTAAATGTACGAACGAGGCACAGGTTATGGAACCTCTGAGAATTTTACGTACGATCGTGACATCGCGTATAATTCGCCTGTCGACGTAGAATTTGAAGATTCGAACTCCTGACAATATCATCGTAATTATGGGAGTTAAATGGTATAGGGGAAGCACGATGCGTGGCAGCCAATTTTAAGAATTTCTGTTGGACATCCTCGATATTTCGATGCGAGATTCTGAAGTTTTTAGGTCGGACGAAAAAGACTCTTAACATTGCTCGAGGTATTAAGTGCTTCTCCGCATAACTAAATACAGGTGATTATTTCTGCTGTGATTAAAATTCATTGAATCGCATTTAGATAAAAATCTGTTTACTTTTATTTTTCCTCGTTGCTATAGTCCTTGCGCTTAAGATGACTTCCAGTTAACAATGACATTGAATTATGATACATCCATCGTTTATGCTATCTTATATTCCAATCTTTATCCTGGTACATATTACATCGTTTCGCATAATTCTTTCCACTTAAGATCTATCGTACATTCGTTTTATCATCTTTTCTCTCTTACCTTTTCATTTACGCGAATTAAAAGAAGTCTTATTAAAGTTACAATCAAACATAAAGTCTGTCAAAGTCATTCTGAACCAATCGCGCAGGTAGAAGAGTAGCCATAACGCTAGGAAAAGCCTCGAGATGAGAAAAATCGGCACGCGTAGTAGAAATTTAGGATAAAGAAACATACTCGAGATATCGTTGATAAATAATGTAAAAGGAAGAGGTTCCAAACACGAGCCTCGAGCAACACCCGATCTTCTCCTATCGATCCGGAAACGGGGAAGATGAAGCGGAAAGATAAATTTCTCAAAGGTATCGAGAAAGCTCTGCTACGCGCGATGCGATCGACGAAATCGAGAGCGATGGCTTGATTTCGATTCGCGCCTGTTCTAAGCGCGTAGCGTCGCTATCGTCGATCGATCTGAAACTCGGAGAAAGTTGGGTCTCCGTGTCGGTTCGTCAGGTGCAAATTTCTGGCCAAGCCTCGAACAACCGACGCGTCGCGGTCGCTTCGAACGAGGAAA